CCATAATTTAAGTTTAGTATTCATAATAGTGAAAGGTGCTAATTAAATAGGTAGAATTTGTACTGCTGAAGTTGTAGATTATGTATTAGTTGGTATACTAGTTTTTGCTTAAAAGACACAATATAGTATCCAACAGTCTTTGTAAATTTGTTGATTTAAATGTAATAGAAGTTAAACTGCAAGTTTAGTTGAAGTTTTGTTTGATAAAGTAATATCTTTAATTAAGTCTATAAGGTCTTGAGAGATAAAACCAGTTATTATTAAAAACAAGGATGATATATTAGGATTATTGTGTATTCGCATGCTGTCAAGATTTTTGATTTGAAAATATAAATTCATTGTAGACTCAGTTGATATGTCAAAAGTAGAAGGTTTAAAAATATATTGAAGTGATTTGTGAATAAAATTCTCTAGATATTAAGAATTTGAACAAATTAGTTAGTGAAGTGCTATACTAATTTGGTAAAAATTTTTTTTGTTAAAACATGAAAGATAGTTTTATAAACAAAATTTTGAGTTATTAGTGATCTCTTTAAAAAAACTTGTATTTGTTTTAATTTTATATTACACTTAATTTTGAAATTTGATTGGCTTTACAGGTTGCGGTTACAATAACCAGAATTACAAATTTATTAATCTAAATAAAAAAATATTAAATATTTAGTTTGTTTTATTAATAAAATAGATTTATTATTATAAAGTAATATATTAAAAAAATTGCTAATTATATTATAAATAATTATTATTTGTAGTATAAAATTATCAATTAGATTTTAGAATTAAATATAATAAATATACTTTTACTAAAATGCACCTATAGTGTTTTATCACCTATGTTGTATTATCTCAAAAACTGGCTAATTAATCGATATGAGGTGTTTTAAATGAAAATGTTCTACGCTCCTAAAAACCTTTCTCAAACCCTAATCCTAACCTTAATATTTAAAAAATTGATATTAAAAATTTTATATATAAAATTTATAAAAACTTGAAAAATTTTAAAAAACATAATAAAAATATATAATAGGTGCAAAACCACCATAGGTGCATTTTATAATAATTGTAATACATAAATCAATTTTGTATAACAAAAATAAAAAATTTTAAAAATTTTATAATATTCTCGCTTGACTTAACTAAATTATAAATAGGGAAATTCTATTTTCATGCGGGTGAAAATCACCTGTCACGTGATATAACGCCACATTGGTGTAACAGTGACATATGCAAGAAAATTTTAATTCGGTCACGTGACCCACACTATCGAAACGACCAATCAAATCACCGATAGTCACGTGATTCACGCTATCGAACTTACAAATCAAATCACTGACAGTCACATAAAGCTTACTTGAAAAATAACCAATATACGCTTATATGACCCACAGTATCAAAATGCTTACTTGAAAAATAACTAATATATGCTCACGTATGTATAATAAAATATAAATCTTATAACTTACTATATAACGTGGATTAAAAGACCCCTTTTAATACTTCTTATGATTTTTGGAGCCTAGAATATAAAGTACCCCGAATACTAATTGCATTTGGGAATATAAAGTATCCGGGTACTAAAGATGGATTAATTAGATCAGTACTTAGTTCACGTTATATAGTTGTATATTTACACAGATAAAACTATGATATAAAAATTTTCTTGGCATATTCTAGAATACTATAAAGCTATTTTCATTCTATTGTATTTTTGTAACTGTTTTACATTATAATATAAAAATGGCTCTTTAGTATTCTAGAGCATATCAAAGAAAATTCAAAAATTATATTTTTATTTGGATAAAGACATGGTTTAGAATAATAGAAGTTTGAAGTTAATATATTTTCTATTCAAATCAGAAAACATAAAATTGATGATATATATACCTTAACTATGTTAATCATTTAAAATCACACATCTCAAAAAAATTATACAAACAGATTTTTGATACATTAATAATTCGCATTAGCCTTATCGATATAGTATCACTCGTATTAGAGTTGAATATGTTGCTGTGTCTAAATAATCAATTCTTTTTGAATTCTTCTGGATCTAATCTAATAAAATATAATTCGAACATAAAGTTATAAGCTTAACCTAGAATATGCTATATATGATTAACAAAAAAAGGCTAATTTTTTTTTGTCCCAGTTGGTTAGTCAATTATTAATAACCAAATATCATGAGTACAAAAAAACATATCTAATTACCAAAGCCTAAAACATTTTATTGTGAATTGACTACTAATTCTATAATGCCATAGTAATATCAGGAGTTGTAATAAGCAGTTATTTAATCTAACATATGATCATGCGTATTTAATCTGAGACATATTCTTGACTCTAAATAGTTAAAACTGTCAGCTTATAAAACTTTTAATTATTTAAATAAAGCATAAAAATCAAATTGTGCAACAAACAAATGCGATACATCTTATTTAATATATAATAATTATCTTATTATAGACATTATCATTGTCATGTAAAACAGAAAATATACAGCATAGTGCATATCTAATTTAAGTAGACTATAATAAGTAACGTAAAAAATAATTATCCCATACAATCATTATAATAGATCCCATCACAATTAACGATAATCCTATCATTTACGATGCATGCAGCATCCCGAATCATTATTGTAGCTTGTTACTATATAATAAAGTTAATATACAGAAATTAATATATGTTGATATATGACAATAGCCAAATAATCGAGTTTATTAATATACGTTACTTTACAAGGGCAACTTCTAAAATTATGCCTGTTACCATTACAAATACTACAAATGTATGTCTTCTTAGTAGAATGTTCAGCACCCATTTTATTATGCTTGGTATTGCTTGGTCTTCCTTTTGCCTTGATATTTATAGAATCTCCAATATCAGCTTGTTTTAAAGGATATTGTTTATTTAATATATTCACAAAAAGAGCAAGAGTATTGTTGATTTTAACATGGCCAACTCTGTTAGCAATTGCTTCAACTTCCTTAAGCAAGTCAGCAGTACTTTTATGCGTTAATTGTTGAGTAATTGGATTTTCGTAAGCTTGATAATTTGAAGAAGACAATACTGGCACATCAAGCAAGGAATTGGAATTGTTATCTAGTTCATCTAGTTTGTTAGTATGTATTAAATTATTTGTATTTATTTTTGGGATTATCCAACGAGTGCTGATATAATTAATGCCTATAGTTTTCTTATAAAACATGTGAACAGCAATAATATGACGGCATGGTAAAGAAAACTGTAAATTATAATAACAATGACAGACCAATCCTGTTTCAATCTGATATACGGTATGCTCACGGTATTCATTAAAAACTTTAAACAAGTTAGCATTTTGTTTTTGAACACTATAAGATGCAACCTTATTGTATTGATCAATCAATAACGAATAAGTAAAATCTGCTATGACCATTGAAACATTTTTTAATAACTTCGGGCAGTGCTGGCGGGTACTTCCACGTAAACGATACTGCTGATATTGGGATTGTTCAAGTTGATGACGAGACAATTTCTCTAACATATTAACTAATTCAGGCAAGGGTACTGTATGGCCAAGTAAACGCTTTAAATACGCATTACTATCTTCTGAACGTTGAGTTGTTCTAATACCGTAGTTAACATTTTTATTGGTATAGCAATGAGCCCACATATGAGAAATAGATTTCCATTGTTTCATATATTTGTTGGCTTCAGGATATTCCTCCAATAAATGATTCTAGCGAAGTACAAATTGATCCTCAATAGCTTCTGTCATTATTAACTTAAAGTCTTGAACAAATGCAATAAATTTACTATTGAGCTTGCTGATTAAATTTTTAATGATATTTTGTTCAATGTGTCAGGTACAAAGTTGGTGTTTAACATGAGGCAATTCATTACTAATCACAGGAAGTATAGCCAAGTCTCTATCAGTTACAACAGTTCTTATTTTATTAATAACTTCATCACCAGCTACTTGTTTTAGTTGTTGAAGTGCCCAATGAAAAGTCAGCGTAGTTTCATTAGCAAGAAGTACGCTTGCAATAAGATATGTAATACCCATTACATCAACACCACTAATAAGTAAGAGCGGTATTCCAAAACAGTTAGTTTTGTATGTGAAATCTATTAATACGATCTCTGGATAACACTTAAACATTAAAAGTGCAGGATGAGTGGTGAAAAATAAGCAGTGAAGCCTGTTATTATTAATGGAATAGGTAATTATATGTTCTTTTTTGTTATGTAAATTATTCAAGAGTTCTGCTACTTGTGACAAGCCTTTAATACGATCACGAGAATGGCGATTTAAAGTATTATATACATCCTTGTTGTGAATATACCTGCCATATTCTTCACTTAACATTTGAATAATTGTTGGCACTGGAACTCCATTATTGTAAAGCATTTGCACTTGGTCATTCTTACTATGACTTAATTTGTGATAACCAGGATCGAACAACGCTATAATATTATCTATTAGTGATTGTGTGTAAGCTCAACGGATCTTATATAATATTTGGTTTTTGACCAACGTACTGTTACTTTCCATGAACAACCTGAAGCAATACTCTTTGTTTTTCGTAATCCAGCACTTTTATTGCTTGGGGCCCCAGCACGACGACAGACAATATCCACTCTAATGATTTCATCCATAATTCTTTCCGTAC